CTCAAGGCTCTCTATCCTTAGCCAAAACTCAAGGCTATGTATACGTCCGTATTAAACTACTAATCTCATTGAACTAATTTATTTTATATACAGGTGAATGAAATTGACCCGGCAGGGTCAACATACAGATAATTAAGATATATATAGTACTAGTATGGATAACATAGATAGCATGACACATTTATAAAGAATATATTACATGAGTACATGTTGGATGAGCGTGGGAAGGACTTGAATCAAAAATTTAAAAATAAAGACGAGAGAGAACAAAAATAAAATTCATTACGATACTGAACGAAGAAACAAAATAGAAAAAAGTGTTGAAAATATGCTAAGGAGAGAGAAACAAAACAAAACAAATCAACAGAAATGCAAGAATAGAAGAAATTAAATAAATATATTTTAAAATCATAACAAAATCTTTATAATAAAACAAGACATTCGTAAATATGTTGTTTATAGCCGGCCAAACGGCTGGACCGATTGGGTTGAAATTTTTTTAGGACACTCATGGGTGGCCAGGGGGGTGTTATAGGCTAAAAAATTCGACCATTGAATCTTTAGAATTAAGTGAGTGTTCAGGTTCAAAATCCCTATTTATCACAACCTAAAAGCTGTACTAATTTAAATGACTCGAAATTTTCCTTTTGATTGAATTAGATTATAATTAAAAGAATGCAGAAAAACACTCTGAATTTTTTCTTGGTCAATTTTTGCAATCTGTAAATGTAGAACTTTCACTCTTATTGTAAAACTGGTTTCAGGTTTGCATTTAAAATTTTTCATATTTTATTAAAGGCGTCCATTGTGGTTTACATTGTATACGATATACACAGTGAGTACCAATATACATAGGACATTAGTGACGAACTTAAACTTGTATTCAGAGCTCTAGTTGAGGGGGGAGGGGGCCTTTCCCCCCCTACCCCCTTAATTTATTGAATCACGAACTAATTCGATTTTAAATAAAAATCTGCATATTTTAATTTAAGACATAGTTTAAAGTACTTTCCGTACTCTTTTCCTTCCCCAGAAAATCAATAATATTTCATATTTTTAATAAATTATTTGATTTTTTTTTTATTTTTCGTTAAAAGAACCGATGTTTGAAATATGACCGACCTGCAAAACAGTTTTTAATCATTTTATTTCGGTTTTTAAAAAACTTTTAATAAAACTTTCTACTTTTCAAACCTGCATTCGGTTAAGCTTTGTTTTTTATCCTACGATCTTTTTAACGCGTGATCGTTTTTGCAGATATTTTTTCTTAAGGTCAAATTTTAAGATTAAACAATTTTGAAAATATTTGTTTTCCTTATACTATACCAAATTTTGACCATGAGAGAAAATATATGCAAAAAACAAAACAAACCTAACAACACTACATGAAAAACCAAAACAAACCTAACAAAACTACATGAAAAACCAAAACAAACCTAACAACACTGCATGAAAAAAATCTAAACTAAATAATACTAATAATAAAGAGAACCAAACTAAGAAGTCGTACCGAACTAGAATTAAATATCCTTTAAACAATGTAGGAATTTTCCATATTTCTTTTTTATAGAAAATCAGTCCTCGGTGAAGTATTTGTACACTTTCTTTATTTACAGGTTTTAGAACCATGGTACTTGACAGTTTACAGTTAAAGAAACAATGGGTAAAACTTCAAGTGAACGTTTATTTAAAAATAGGGGCATGAATACCCACCTTTACATGATCAAAAGTATAAAAGATATTTCTTTTTTTTCAATTTTGAAATGTGATTGTTTCTAAAAATTGTCAACGTCATTGCCTTTAAATTATGGAATGAAGAAACATACGTTTACATTAGCATAGTGTCAAGAAATTCATTTACACCTGCTTAATGTATCTAAAAATGGTTACCCGCTACCCCTCAGCCGACCATGCTTCAAAGATTGTACTTCGTGCCTATTTATATGAAAATATTACAAAGCCAGAGTCAAACACATTTTTTAAATAGAATATGTTTTTTAATAAATGTTTAAATACTTTGAACGGAATTAAGATAATTGAATATCAATTTTATCCATATAGTTTTAAATGGCATTTTACATATATCAATAAGTTTATGCCACAGTATCGAGAGAATTAAAGAGATTTTTTAAGCGTGATTGTACTTGATACGTATACTATATTAAATACGGTTTACTTTGAATTTCGTTCTGTATTTTGAGGTAAGCTAAGATCTAGTTTAAATGATTCTTATACATATCAATAATGTATCGTTATCCCTCCACCCACCCCCCCCTGCCTAAGATTCCACTTGATCCACTTTTTTTCTATGCGTCATCTTTCTTGTAACTTTGTAAGTAGGACAGATATAGATTGTAAGTTGGGTGTAAGTACTGTTTGTGCATTTTTATACAATCTTGGGATTTCCCTTTACAGTCTCATAGAGAAGTCAAAATATCTATGTCAATTTATAGGAAATTTTTTGTTTTTATATAAAGTAAATTTTATGTTTTCAATCATAATTTCTATTATTGGAGAGCTACATTGAGAAGAACAATATTGTTTAGAATTTCTATTGTGTAACAGAATAAGTCGTACCATTAGTGTCCTGACCTTCTATCTAGTTTACAGTGCTGTATACGTTAAGTAGAAAAGGAATTTTGCCAAAAAGACCAATCAAGAAAAGAGCAAAAATGTTTTGAATTTTAAAAAAGTAATTTAATATAAATAAACTACTAGACATTTGAAATACCAAATTCGGCAAAGATTTCTCTTTTACTGTTTTAGTTAATCCACAATTGTACAACCTTTTGTTCAATTGACCTCCATCTTTGGCCTCCAATGTATCGACCTTTTTGACCTCAGTTTTCTGACTTTTGTGAGTTCTACGTATATGATAAATTCTATTTTAAATAGCTCAGTAAAAATATTTCAACATATTATTCATATATACATGCATCCTGCTTAAATAGAAGAGGGTAGCAGGGTAGTTAAATATGCTTATTCAATATATTACAATGGACTTGACTGTGTTCAGAATTAATGAAAACAATAAGGGGGGACTGCTGTGAGCCTTAAAGCAGGCGGTATGAATTTGTTC